TGGCAGCTCAGTGGGCACCACCCCAGGGGCTCTGAAGAGATCTGGGATGATCAGAGCGAGGTGGAGCCGCCCCTGGTCCCCTCCATGGGGACACCAACAGCCAAGAGCTGCATCACAAGCACGGGGGACAGAGGCAGCTGCCCCCAGCCCCACCGAGGCTCTGGCAAGCAGCAGGGCTGGGAGCAGATGGCACAGCCACGGGGGGCACGGGAGGAGGGGACAGAGATGCTGGTGGCTTTCGGGAGGCAGGGACAGCCACGGCCGAGCCCGCTCCCGTCCGGCACGACAGCTTGCATATGGATAAACGAGCTAATGACAACCTTTGGAAGGGGGGGAAGGCCGTGGCACAGCGTCCTCCTGCTGCCAGCTCCTGCCTGCGTCCCCACGCTCCCTCTGCAGCCCCGGCGAGGAAATTGCTGCCCGTGAAAGCCCTGGCTGCAGCCCCGGCTACAGCTGGGGAGCCATTCAGCTATTGATAGCCCCCCTTTGTCAGCACCAGGGCTGGGCTTTGGTGAGAGACAGCAATTTGGGAAAAAAGAAAAAAGAAAAAAGAAAAAAAAAAGAGAAATCCAACAAAAATGACAACCCCAAAAAAGCCAACAAACAAACAAGGGGAGAAGGAGAGAGACAATACCCGACAGCTTGCAGGGTTTCCAGGCCTCTGCCAGCTGGGAAGCTGAGCGTATGAAATATGCATTGCACCGAACAAAGCAAACTGAAACGCTCAGAGCTGGAGAGCTGTAACCCTTTCCTGGGCGCCACAGCCACAGGGACAGCTGCCAAAAATCCAGGGGGAAACAGCCCATGGGATGCAGCACCCTGGGCTGTGGGTAAGGGTCACTGAGCCTGAAGGGTCAGATGGGCCCAGCAGGCAGCTGGCTAAGGAAGGTGGGGAGCTGAGAACTGCTCTGGATGCCAGTGGCTCCACTGTGGGGTGACTCAGGGCAGTGCTGTCCCTCACACCCACTCCCACACCTCTCCTCCCAGTGATATTGGAGGAGAAGCCTTTCTCCCAGGGCTCCCAGGGCAGCATCTCTGCAGGGAATTGCTCTGCACCCCACACTCCTGCACAGGCTGGAGGTGGGGACACAGTCAGGGCTGTGACACCAATGGCACTGTCACTGCTGCCCTCGCTGACCTGTCACAGGTGTCCCCAGGCTGCTGGAGCAGAGGGGATGGGTCAGGCTGGTCACAACACCCAGAGGAAGCAGCACAGGACAGACTGAAACCCTGAACAAACGGGATGAACGGAGCACAAGGCTCCTGAGAGGAGACTGAAGGACTGAAGGAAAGGAATCCAAAAGAAATCTCCAATCAAGGGATGGGAGAAAATGCAGGGCAGAACAGAGATGCAGCAAACTTTCAGCTAAGTAGGTTATTGATCTTCAGGGTGTGCCAGGAACCAGCTTTGCAAATTGCAGCGGTGCCCTGCTGCAGGCTCAGGCAGTTACGGGATGGCAGAGCAGGAACACTCCCCAGCTCCTGCCACCCACAGCCTGCCTCCTCCTCCTCCTCCTCCTCCTCCTCCTGTTTGGATGGCACATGGAAGGGGCCAGACAGTGTTGGTGGGGAAGGAGCAGCTCAGATAACGCTGGCAGAGATGGGGCAGGAGCAGGAGCCCAGCCCAAGGCGGGCGGGGAGGGCGCTGACCCTGCGAGCTCCGCACACAATTCCTTGGCAAGGGCAGAGCTCTCTGCTCCCTGCTCGCTGTCGGGAGGGCTCTGCAGGCACAGCCAAGCTGTGAACGCCTCCCAGATTGCCCTGAGGGTGCCTCAGCCCCGGCACAGACATCACCTGCTGGCAGGAGCCTGGGGAGGAGAGATGGCTCAGAGCGCAATTCCTGCTGGGGTGCTCAGCATCCCCCTGGACCAGCCCCATGGTGCTTGAATCATGGAATCACTGAATATTCTGAGCTGGGAGGGACCATAGGGATCATCAATCCAACCAATCCTGCACAGACCCCCCAACAATCCCACCCTGGGCATCCCTGGAGCATTGTCCAAACTCTCCTGGAGCTGTGGCAGCCTCGGGGCTGTGCCCATTCCCAGTGCCTGCACCCTCTGGGGGAAGAACCTTTCCCTGATATCCAACCTAAACATCCCTGGCACAGCTCCAGCCATTCCCTGGGTCCTGTCCCTGCTCACCAGAGGGAAGAAATCAGTACCTGCCTCTCTGCTGTCCCACATGAGGATGTTGAAGACCCCTGAGGTCTCCCCTCAGTCTCCTCCACTATAAGGCTCAGAGCCCTCCTGTGAGAAAGGCGAGCAAGGATTTGTTCATCCTTCTCACAGGAGGCAAGGGAAAGGCCAGGGGGTTATCTGGTGACACCAGCCAGCTCCTCCCATCCCTGGGGCAGCCCCTGTGCTGAGGAGGAGCTGGCTTTAACCAAGCCGGGCCTTTCCCGGACTGCTGGGGCGTGAGGAGCGCTCGGACTGTTAGATCCGCCCGGTTTTAAATAAATTCCACTGACGTTGTGTCCCCTGACATGAATTATTAACCAAGCATGATGCACACAGCGCCAGCAGCAACGGCTGGGGCGGGCACTGAGCAGGTGAGGCTCTGCCTGGCACCGCAGGTGTGAGGCACAGGAATTCCAGCATCCCTGGTGGCAGAGGTGTTGTCACCAAGGCTGCCACCTGGTCACGCCAGGGACAGTCACACTCCGTGCCCAGGGCACACAAACCCCAAACTCCTGGCATCTCCACGCAGCCATCTGTGCCAACACATGCTGGGAGCAGGGACTGTTTTTCCCACCTTGTGACAGTCCCAGGGACAGAGGCAGCTGGCTCTGCTCTGCTCCTGGAAATGTTGTGGATGTCCTGGAGGTACCCAGCCAGCCACTGTCTCCTAGGGTGGCCTGAACAGATGGGACCATTGCTCTCCCTTCAGCTCCCAGTTAAACCGGGACAAGAGGAATGGTGGGTGACATGGGGACAGCTTTTCAGAGGGGAACCAACCCATGAGCCAATGCCCAGAGGCAAATTACCACCTCCCCACACCCTCCCCTGCTGATGACTTGAGAATTCACCAGAACGTTCAAAAGGTCCCCAGGGGAGAGCCTGACGGAAAGTGAACCATCAGCAAGGGGCAGGGAGCCAAGGCCAGCGCTGGTGGGAGCTCCTGCAAGAATGTGAGCCCTGGGTATGGGCCACACTGGGGGCTGCAGGTGGGAAATCACCAGGAAAAAGGGCAATTCCTGTGCCCCCAGAATAAACCCAAGCAGCCTGAAGCCAGAGGAAAGAGGAGAGTTATGTGAACCCCAGCTCTGTGAAGCCCTGGGGCGGTGCTGGGCTTCCAGCACCACACACAGATCATCTGGGCTCCCCCTCTCCGGTCACTCAGTGCAATGAGAAGGGAGGGGAAGGAGTGCTGAGCAGAAAAAATAACATTTCATATTTTTTCCTCTCATAATTCAGTAGAACAACATCCACATTTCATCCTGGAAGGAGCTGCACTTTGGGGATTCTCGTGTCTGAGACCTAATTTGTAAAGTGCCCAGGGATCCCTGAGGGGAAAAAAGCATTAGAGGATCATTATTAAAAGGGACACGTTATATTTCATGTCTCAGTTCCACACAAGTGGAAAAAAAAGGCCAAGAGCAAACTCTGGGATCAGAGGACAAACCTGTGAAATATAACACACATCGAGGAAGTGACAAAAACAGGACATGGGGACCCTCCTGCTTTCCCCACTGCTCGGCCATGCCACAGCAGTGACACAGAGCAAAGAGCAGCAAAGAGGTTTTTTTAATAAAAGCCACAATCTGTGGTGCCTCCCAGCTGTCCCCTGGGCTGCTTTACAAGTCTGGGGTGGATCCAGCTCTTACAGCATCAGAACACAAAACACAACCTGAGCACAGCCCACCCACGGGGCTGCCTGTGGCCCTGCTGGCTCCTCCACCTGCCACCAGATAATTCAGACAAAAAAAGATTTTCCTGAGCCTCTCAGCAGTGCTTACACCAGCAGTGTCTCTGCCACAGCCCTTTCAAACCCTCAGCCTGTAGGTGGCTGGATGAGAAGCCATTTCCCAGGGGAATGAGCAAAGGAACCTGTTCAGGTTGAATCTCACGCCTGCCTGTGTCCCACCCACACAGTGTCACTGCTGGGGTCACCCCTGTCACACACTGCATTTATCTGCTCAGCCAAGCCCAGGCATCAGCAGGGATGGATGTGCCAGAGCAGCACAACACCCACAGCGAGGGTGTGGAGGGGAGGGGGCAGGAATGCAGACCCTGCTCAGCCACTTCTGTGGCAAGGGACAGCCTGGACCTTGGGCTGGGGCTGCTGCTGCAGCAGGGAACACTCAGCACCCTGCACTGGGGTAGAATATGATTCCCATCCCAGATGTCTGACTCTGGCACACCACAACTGTGTGCAGGCATCACGTGGAGCTCAGCACGGAGCTTGACTTCCACGGAAACCTGATGGGTTTCCCCCAGTGCTGTTTCAAAATGAGTGCAACCCCCAAGGCCAGCAGTCCTGCCCTTCCAAGCACAGAATCATGGAATGGTTTGGGTTGGGAGGGACCTTAAAGCTTGTCTCGTTCCATGGGCAGGGACCTTCCACTAGACCTGGTCTTCAGAGTGAAACAGAATATGTTTAGATGGGATATTGGGAAGGAATTCTTGCCTGTGAGGATGGTGAGACCCTGGCACAGGTGCCCAGAGCAGCTGTGGCTGCTCCTGGATCCCTGGCAGTGCCCAAGGCCAGGTTGGACACCGGGGCTTGGAGCACCCTGGGCTACTGGGAGGTGTCCCTGCCATGGCAGGGGTGGGACTGGATGGGCTTTAAGGTCCCTTCCAACCCTGTCCATTCCATGACTGCATGGACAGCACTTGTCCATCCATAAAGCACCACAGCTACAGGAACCCAGCAACAAAGCACAACAAACCCTGTCACTGAGCTCACAATCCTCGGCCTTTCAGAGGCTGGGAAGGACAGACCTTTCCCTGAGAGCAGACCTTGTCAAGGTGAAGCAGTGGAGAAGGAGGAGGCAGTACCTGTGTGCTGTTCTCATCGCCCTGGGCGTGGATGCTGTAGGAGCGGGCACCGCTGCTCAGGGTCTCGCTGGCGATGCGCACGGCCACGCCGGGCAGGGGGGTGCCCACAGAACCTGGGGGGACAGAGCATGGAAAATGGGCATCTCAGAATCCAGCACATCCCTCTGCCTGCCCTGGACTGCCAAACCCCTGCCAGGGGGCTCAGAGACCCTGGCACAGAGCCCAAGACACTTATGACCCATGGAGCCAATTACCAACCTTATATGAGGATCTGCAAGCCACGACAGTTTAAGTAGAATGATAGTGAATTTGTCACGGGGTGAAAAAGAGATTGTTGGGGTTTTTAGAATGGGGGTTCAGGGGACAAGATGGAGGAATCTGGGTGTGTCCAGCCTTTCACCTTCTTCTTCTTGGCTTCCATCTTCTGCTGTGATGTTGGCACTTTTATATTGGTTTAGAGTAGAAGCTCACTGTCTAACACAGGTGATAGGTATTGGGCAGTAATTGTAAATATTGTACATATAGTTTTTAGTGTAAAAAGATAACACCACCCTGGGGGAGGCAGAGTGCCTCTGACTGTCTCAGCTGGACAGGAGAAAGAATTTTACAGATAAGAAACAATAAACAACCTTGAGACTGAGAAATGAAGAGCTCTGACTCCTTCTTTGAGCACTGGGCTGGGAAAAGAGACTTTCTAACACATTTTGGGGTCACTGTGACCAGCTAGAGTCCTGAGAGGGGCCCAGCAGGGACAGCACACAGCCAGGGATGCAAACAGCATCTCTAGCAATGGCATTTGCTGTGCTGGCCTAAAGGATTCCTAGCTGGGGGTGTCCCTCGAGGAAGGGGTGATCCCACCGTGTGTCAGGAGCAGGCAGTGTGGGAATACCTCTGAAGGTGTCTCCAGCCCTCAACAGACTCTCTTGGCCACTCTTTGAAGAAATCTGCACCTCTTCAGAGCTCAGGAATGAAGCTGTTTCCTTTTTTGGTTTTTTGTTTTTGTGTTTTTTTTTTAAAGAAAAAAAAGAAAGGCACAACAAAAGCTACACAAAGCTGTGAAAAGAGAGAGCACAGCAATCACTCTGCTCCTCTACAGCCTGCACCTGACAGGGGAGGCAAAGGCTTAACAGCTGAGAATTGCCAGGGATTATCTCAGTTTTAGGAGACATCAATCGACTGGATAGAAAACATCACAGGAGAAAAGCAGGGATCAAAACCACCCCGTTCTTGCACAGGTCTCAGTTTCAAAGCCAAGGAGCTGACACAGTGTCACAACCACCACTGCTGAGCTCCAAGCTGTGTCTGGGACCCAGAGCTCCCCAACCTGCAGCTTTCCCACCCCCTTGGGAAAGTTCAGGGCCTGTTCTTGCTGGGGAGCACCTGAGAGCTCAGCAGAGAGGGCAGCTCTGTTCTGTGACCTGTGGGATGGGCAGCAGATCCCAGCAGGTCTCACTTGGCCTCCCAATGGCCCGAGATGGCTCCTGATGGGGCCTGTGACCTTCATCCCCTGGGAGCAGGGAGAGGGACAGCAGCTCACAGCAGCCTGTGGCTCAGCAGGACTGGACAGGAGTGAGGTTCAGCTGGAGAAGGACTTTTCACAAGGGCCTGGAGTAGCAGGACAAGGGGGAATGGCTTCCCACAGCCAGAGAGCAGGGTAAGATGGGATATCAGGGAGAAATTCTTCCCTGGGAGGGTGCTGAGGCCCTGGCACAGGTGCCCAGAGCAGCTGTGGCTGCCCCTGGATCCCTGGCAGTGCCCAAGGCCAGGTTGGACAGGGTTGGGAGCAACCTGAGCTAGTGAAAGGTGTCCCTGCCCAGGGCAGGGGGGATGGAACAAGATGAGCTGAAGGATCCCTTCCAAACCAAACCATTCTGTGATTCCATAAATTGGTAACGGTGCTCTTTAAAGCATGATCATTTTTTCCACTGAAGTGCCTCCAGTTGATGCTTTCCAGGTCTGCCAGGATCACCTTGACACTGGGAATTCCCTAGAGCAGGGAGTGCAGAAGCTGTCTGCCTCACACTTCAGGCATTTGGGTTGGAGTGGCATTTTCCCTGTCCTGCTCTCCCTCTCCTGTTGAAGCCCTGGAGATCTGCTATCCGTGACATCATGATTGTGTCTGCTACACTGGTCAGTTGCCATGGAAATGGATATGTCGTCGTAGCCCAGATTTATGGCATCCCTGCAGGATCAGCCAGGAGCAGATGGGCTATGAGGGAGTGAGATTTTATTGCAGCAAAACTACCCGAACAATTAGCAAATCTGGCTGGAAATAAACACAAAGCGACGTGGCAGCCCCGTGATCCGTGTCAGCTCTGCTCAGAACTGCCTTTGGCACTCTGGGCAGACAGCACAGCCACGTCCTCCCCTCAGCACCAGCACCCCTGGGCTGCTCCCAGCTCCAGGCCACACACTGCCAGCAATCAGAGACACAGGGCTGCAGCAGGGCAAGAGGGAGCACGAGGCAGAAGTGCCCTGAGGTACAATGTCGAGGTATTTATGGAATCAGAGAATCACAGAAGTTGGATCCCACAAGGATCATCAAGTCCAGCTCCTGGCTCTGCACAGGACAACCCTAAAAATCACACCATATGTGTTATAAACAATCCTGCACCTGCTATGGCAGGCTCCAAGAGGCCTCAAAGCAAGTAACAAGTCACAGAAAACACCCTCAGTGTTGCATGGAAGGTTGCTGGAGCCACCTTCTAGACTTCTGTGGGAACAGTTCCTCCAGGGTGAAAAACTGTGTGTGAACAGACTCCAATCTGCCCACAAAACATGGCACGTCTGTGGGCAGGCACCAGTCCTGGAAAACTCATGGAGGGAGCAGAAACCAATGCAAGGAACTGCCAGGGGCTCTCACAGACTTGGAATTTTTCAAATCAAGATGAGCCAGGTGCCTTCCTGGAAGATGCTCCTTCCCTGGATGCAAGCTGCTGACCTCAACATGGAGATAGGCAGTGATTCATGGGCAGCAGGACCCCAGGATTAGTGCCCACTGCTGGCCCCAGCCCTTGGCAATGAGACACCAAAGATGAGCACAGGGCTGGCACAGAGGAGGTGGCATGTTCCCCACACAGTGTTTCAGATCACAGTTACTAACACAGCCCCACCAGTTCCTCTCCTGCTTGGCTAAAATAAAACCAGCATGTACAACAAGTCCCTGGTGGAGAGCTGCTTCCTTATGTTTCTGTCTGGAGAAGCTTTTCTGGTGTTTAGGAAAAGTGACAAACTTTGAAATCAACATCTGTAAAGGCTGAAAAAGCCCCCACCATTGATTAGAGCTCCACCAACCTGCCAGGATTAATAGAATTTGTGCAAAAACAATGACTGGAGCTTCCCAGGTGTCAAAACACACCCTGTGCCAACTCCAACAGGTCAGCAGAAATTTGGGCTCGTTCCCAAAGGAGCAGCTCCAGAGGTCCTGCCTTCATCAAGCCACAGTTGGGGTGATCAGAAGGGGCCAACACTCTGCACTGGCTTCCTTTTGTCCCCAGCCATAATCCTGAGGGGAAACTGGGGAGAAATCTCTGCTCCTTCCCCTCTGCACCCCTGCAATGTGCAGACTCCTGGATGCTCAGCACTGCTGGCACTTCCTTTTTCCTCCCCAGCCATAATCCTGAGGGGAAACTGGGGAGAAATCTCTGCTTCTCCCCTCTACACCCCTGCAATGTGCAGGCTCCTGGATGCTCAGCAATGCTGGCACTTCCTTTTTCCTCCCCAGCCATAATCCTGAGGGGAAACTGGGGAGAAATCTCTGCTTCTCCCCTCTGCATCCCTGCAATGTGCAGGCTCCTGGATGCTCAGCAATGCTGGCACTTCCATTAGTCCCCAGCCATAATCCTGAGGTTAAACTGGGGAGAAATCTCTGCTCCTTCCCCTCTGCACCCCTGCAATGTGCAGACTCCTGGATGCTCAGCACTGCTGGCACTTCCATTAGTCCCCAGCCATAATCCTGAGGGGAAACTGGGGAGAAATCTCTGCTCCCTGCCCTCTGCACCCCTGCAATGTGCAGGCTCCTGGATGCTCAGCAATGCTGGCGCCTCGCCCGCGGTGTCACCGCGCTGCAGGCAAGGCAGGAGGGGGTGACACCGCTCTGCTTTCACCCCCTCTCCTCCGCTTAAAAAAGTTGTCAGCTCTTCCCAGATAAATTTAATTGGCCCCGTGCTCTGTGTCCTTCGGTATCTGGGTAGCTGGGGCCGCAGAGTCCCGGGAGGATTGGAGCAGGCCGACGATAAGGCACTCAAGGATCTCACTGTCAACAATACACGGAGTCCCCGCTGTAGCAGCTATTAGCTGCTCTGATCTAAACCTCCAATTAAAGTGGTGATTAGGCCCAGTGAGGCATTCTCCGGCCATGAATTATTCATCTCCCTTCACAGTAACAGCACCAGGGGGGATTAGAATGAGAGCTGGTGAAAACAGAGGCATTTTAAGCAGGGTTTTAACCATATACAAGCAAACATTTATCTTTCAAATCTTTCATCTTTGCTGTTTCTGGAAATTAAAGCTCCCACACCCCATGCCTGCCCCTTGAGACCTGTGCTGTGGGTGGAGAGTGGGGACACAATGCTGGGGACATGGGCAGGATGGGCAGGGTCCAAGGACCCCACCTTTCTCCTACCACACCAAGAGGGCAAGGGAAGCCCCGGGATCTCTCCTCAGAGGCTCATGAATCACAGAATGGTTTGGAAGGACCTTAAAGCTCATTTCATTCCACCCCCTGCCATGGGCAGGGACACCATCCATTGTCCCAGGGTGCTCCAAGCCCTGTCCAGCCTGGCCTTGGGCACTGCCAGGGATCCACAGCCTCTCTGGGCACCCAGAGAAGGGCCTCAGCAGCCTCATAGCCAAGAATTTCTTACTAATATCTAATCTAAACCTAAAGTTAGTTGTGAAGCCATTCCCCCTTGTTTTGTCACTCCAGGCCCCTGTCCACACTCCATCTCCCTTGTAGGTCCTTTCAGGAACTGAAGGCCACAATCAGTCACCCCAAAGCCCTCTCTTCTCCAACAACAACCCCAATTCTCTCAGCAGGGCTGCTCCATCCCTCTGCCCCTGCTGGTGCCTCCTCTGGGCTCACTCCAACAGGTCAGAGCAGGGGAGGAGGTCGTGTGCAGCTCCCAGTCCAGGAGAGACCCTCTGGCAGATGTCCCCTGCTCCCAGCCCACCATCAGCTGCCTCTGGGATCTCTGTGGTACCTGGTGACCTCCTAGCCAGCCTCTAACAGGGCACTAGATCAAAAGCTTTTTCACAGCTCCAGTAAATTATGCCTCAGCTTCACCCATCTGCTTCCCAGCTGACACTTCCTGAAATAAATTAATCAAGCCTATTCAATTATAGCCTCATTTCTGTATGGCTTCTTGCTGATCCCCACCTTTGTGAGACACTTCTCTCCCCTCTGGGGGCTGCAGGAGCCCCTGGATGGGGCTGGAGTGACAGTCCCCAGCCCCTCTGCACAAGAGGCTTTGTGCCCAGGTGCCCTGCAGCCCCCAGGATGCACAGGGATGATGCTCAGGAGCCCTCAGGAGCACAGCCATTAGCTCTGGGGCAGGAGCTGCCCTCCTGGGTGCCAGCCTGTGCACTGCCATGCTGCTTTCAGTCTTATTCCTTTTCTCTTTTAGTCCCCTGGGAAATTTCTGGAGTCTCCAGTCCTTTTGCCTCATGAAAATCAATAAAAAGCAAATATAACCCAGTGTAAGGCCAGTGCAATGATGCCTGCCCTGTCACCCTGGGGTGTGTGGCTCACACACAGCTCGAGCTCCTGCAGATGGGAGCCTTGTTTTTCCTGCCTGCCTCCCTCTCCTGCCTGCTGGAGGGAGATAAATCTGGCTGAGGTGGGGTGAGGGAATGACAGTTACCCTGCAAGACTAAAACAGAGTTTGTGTTCCAAGCTGTTCTCAGGCTGAGGAGTCAATGAGGGGGAGTTTTGGCTTCTCCTCTCCCTGAGCCACCCCTGCAGGACCCAGCTCCTGCATGCCATGGGATTGGGGTGCTGTGGGAGGCTGTGACACCCAGGACCCCCTGTGGGGTAACACCAGTTCCCCAGGAGGCTGCATATGGTGCCATGCCTGCACAGACAGCCTGTGGGGAGGCAGGTGGCACGGGGTGGGCACACAGATGGCCACGCTCCAACCACAGGGAGAGTGGGGGCATTTCACATTTGCAATGTCTCAGATCAATTTATTTCTAGGTTCCAGAAAGTACAGCCATGGAGAGGAATCACAAAGTGGAGCTCAGAGAAGGGGGGGAAAGACAAGGAGAGAACAGGCCCAGAGTGTACAGCGAGGTGTGACAATTTTGAATTCCTGAAGAGGCAAGAAACAGGCACTAAAATAAGAGTGAGCAGACATCCTATTTTGAGTGTTCAGCACTGATGGGTTGGACAAGCACTGCTGTGTGGAGAATCCTGTGTGACACCACCCAGAAATACAACTCCAGGCAGCAGGAGCTGAAGCAACACTCCCCCAATTCACTAAGATTTTGGAAGCAACAGAGCATCAGTCTGGAGTGTGCCAGCCTGGTCAGGGCAGCGGGCACCACTGCCAGCTCTGCACACACAGCTCTGATCCCTGGGCAACCCAGCAGCCCCTTCCCACACAGCCACACCCTGAGCCCCCAGTGCCAGCTCCCAGCAGCCTTGTTCCCAGCGTGGCCTCTCCTCACTGCAGTGCACAGAACAGCCCAGAGCACCCCCAGCACAGGCCTCCAAACAGGGGCACCCCTGGGGACTCCTACCTGGCACTCGGACTCCATGCAAAGGGTTAGAAAGCGCCATGCCAATCTCAGTCATCCCATACCTCTCCAGCAAGGTGTGCCCTGTGATGCTCTTCCACTTCTCCAGGACAGGCACAGGCAGGGCTGCTGAGCCTGACACCATTAACCTGCACAGGGAAAGGCCAGGTAAGAGATATCTGAGAGCACCTTTGCTCCAGGGAGTTTGCAGCCTGACACAGGGGCACAAACAGCTCTGCGTAAAACCTGCAGCCCCAAAATCCTTTTAGCAGCACCAAAGATGTCCCCCACATTCTCAGCCTGATGTGGGGTTCAAGTTAAGCAGGACAGCCTCTTACAAGAGATCCTGGGCTGCAGGACAAAGCCCTCAGCCATGTGTTACACAGGGTGACACACAACGAGCCCCTTCTGCCTCTCCCATGCAAGAGTGGCTCATAATTAAATAATGTCACCCTTGTTCCTGTCACAGAGACACCACAGCACAACAGCCAGCATGAAAGAGGTGATGCTGAAAGGAAAACCTGGAGCACCCAGAGAGCCAGCAGCTCACCCACCTGATGTTCTCCTGGCAATAGGCACGCACGAAATCCTGCACCTGGGGCTGGGTGAAATGCTCATCATAATATTCCATCAGCTTGGCGTAGATGGTGGGCACTGCCATGAACACATTGACACGGGGAGCTTCGGAGCTCAGGAGCTTCTTCCACACCTAGGAAGGAAGGGACACACATGGGTGAAGATACACCTTTGCTATCCAAGAGTTCTTGGGAGTACAGCTGGAAGCTGTTGTGTGCCCCCACCCCTGTCCAAAACAAGCTCCCAACTTTCATCATGCCCTTATTTCCCAAGGCATAACGCTCATCTCTTGTCCCACCAGTGGATCCCCCACCCACCATCACTCTCAAGATGATGGAAATGGCATTTGTCAGTCCTGTCATGTTGCAGCCAAGAATTTGCTCACAAAGATGGAAGCTTGTGGCAGAATCAGCTCATTCCCCTACCATGCACAGCTCTTCAAAGGCTGCACACAGCCACCAGTTTTCCAAAGCATGGCAGCTCTTCTTTGGAAAGACACAGCCCACACCTGATACACAATACACAGCTTGGAGCCAACTCTGAGGCAAAGCTGGGAAGAGGGAGGTCAGGCACTGGGAGTGAGACTGCATGAAAATGGTGAGGTGCTGTGAGAGAGCAGTATCCCTGGTGAGCTCAGAGGAGCCATCAGAATGCACAGGTAAAGCAGGGGCAGCAGCAGACAGCAGCAGCTTTTCAGGAGGGCCACCACCCCAACCACACTGTTGCTGAGAGGAATGATCCCTGTGGGGATAATGTTCTTCAGCTGCAGCTCCTGCTGGCCTGTAGGAGCTATGAATGGGGAAAAATCCCGATGACACCTCATGGATGGGAGCCAACCATGGCTCAGAGACACACAGTCACACCTGAGCGCATTGCTCCCACACCTCAGCACTGTCCCTGCCAGGTAAGCTCTTCCAAGGCAGGAGGGAAGCAAAGCCATCAATAAATCAGAGCCCCACACTGCTGTCCCCGTGCTCTGTCCCTGCCCCCCGGTGACAAATGTGTTCCCTAACAGCTCCTGACACCGAGTGCTGCCTGGGCGCTCCCCGGCACGCTCAGCTGCACACGAGGCAGGCCCTGATTGAAGGTGAGCCAGGGATTCTCCTTCATGCTGTCACTCTGCCCCTTCCCTCCGTTCTGCTCCCTTTCATCCCTCTCTCCTCCCCCCGCAGCTCCGCACTCCGCTGCCCCAGAACAATCAGCTCCTAAAAACCCTCCCAGCACCGGGGGTTGTGGTTAACAGAGCAGGACACATCCTCAGAGGCACCATCCCACCCTAGAGGAGGGAGCTCACGCTGCCCCCAGCCCAGCTGGCCCTCATGGGGAGAGATGAATGCACAAGGTGCAGAGGCACTGCACACCCCGGCACGTGGGACATGAACACTGCAGGATGCGCTGGGAAAGGAGAGCAGAGCTGGGATGTGACCTCCTGCACTGATGGTGGCACAACCAGACAGGGAACGTTTCAGTTCCTGCAGAAACCCCCTACCAGCCAGATTAGGTAAAATTGCATTTACAGGGGTCTAACCTCCCCTGTGTTTGAACTGATGCCTTGAGAGGCTGGTCTGGAACAGACACCAGACAGAGCTAAATGGACAGTATAGATATTTACTGCAAGGCCTTGGGCAGCACAAGAACCTGGCCCAGGCTGCACCCAGGTTGAATCCAAGGTGGATCCCAGTCACAAGTTTTTACACTTTTATAAGTTTTGGTTCATCTACATATTGGGTTTAACTGTCCAGTTACAGCTCCAGCTCATGAAGTATTAACCCCCTGCCTTGCTTCCTTCCCTTCACAGCTGTTTGTGCTTTTTGGGTAAGGCTGTCCTTGATTCTACAGCTGGGAAGGGATTGTTTTGTCCAACCACCCTGTGAAGAGACCCTACTAACACCTCATAGGGAGTTTCAGAGTTACACACCAGGCAGCAGAGAACCTGAAAATTAGAAAAGCTAAACCCCAAGGCATCATTTCCCAGCCCCCTTTTTCCCCAGTATCTTTCCCATTCCAGGCAGCAAGATGGAGAAGGGTCTCTCCAAAGCCAGGGCTGGATGGATCTGCCCTCCCAAGCCTGGTGCTCCCCAGAGCCATTGCTGTGGGCAGGGAAGGACGTGTGATGGCCAGCAGGGACCAGACTGCGCCGAGGGGATTGAAGGGAAACAGATGCTCAGGGCTTGTTCAATCCTTGCTGTGTGATTTTGTTTTGCCTTCCCAAGTCCTGAGCAGCTGTGGGAGTGCAGGCAGACTTCCAGTCTGGCCATGCAGCCAGACTTTGGATCTCAAAAACCCCAAACCCATGCAAACAGAGCAAGTCTCCCTTGCACCCCAGAGTCCCTGTCCCCACGTGCCAGCTCACCTCCTGCCTTAGATAAAATCCTGCACTGCAGCCACAGGAGCAGCTTTTCCATGTCAGTCCAGCTCACCCAGCAACAGCCCCTTCCTGAGGATAAGCAGCTGCCTCTGGATTTGTGCCACCAGCTGCTGGGGTTGATCTGCTGACAGCCAAACCTCTCCACCTGCTCTGCTCCTGCTCAGCCAAATCTGGATCCTTCCCATGTGTTTTAGCAGGACTGAGCCGTGGTACAAAGCTGCCAGCTCTGAGCACTCCACAGAGCCCAAGCTGGCCGGAGAGCTTGGCACTGCCCAGCCAGCTGGAGCAGCTATTCCTGGCTTCCAACTAACTGCAGGCTTTAAGAGAAGGATCTGGGAAAGCCTCGTTACCTGGCGCTAATCAATCAACCCCATGCAAGGCCCCAGCTTTGTCCTTGCAGCACCTGGCACCCTCTGACAGCTCCAGCCTTGGAGCAGCACTGTCCATCCCCCTGGTTATCCCCTGTCACTGTCACTGTCACCACGTTCATTCCCTGTGCAGCACTGGGCCTGGAGCAGCACTGTCCATCCCCCTGGGTTATCCCCTGTCACTGTCACCACATTCATTCCCTGTGCACAGGGCACTGCCAGCCCAATGCTCTGTTTTGTTGTGCTCACCTGATACCTCCAAGTGCTTTTAAAAAGCCATGGATTTGGGAAGCAAACATGGCACCACGTGCCAGGGCTGCCAGGCTCTGCAGCCTTCCCATGGAATATGCTCAGGAGATGGATTAGGATTCCTTTTAGGATAACCAAGGGTTAGAAACAAAAAGTTTCTCACTGCAAGAAAGCAAGAGTGGATGGGGCTTCCCACCAGCAATAAGGGCAGCAAATGCTTTGGGTCAGGGCTGCCTGTGCCAGCAGAGAAGTGGGAGACCTAATGTTCCCAAGAGCCTTCCTGTCAGCGTGACATTCCTGATTTTCCTCCCCTCCCACTGCTCTAAAGCATATCATGAGCTGGCCAGTGGGATTTTGCCATCATTAAAGGAAAAAAAAAAAAGGAGAAAATGACACCAGTGGGTACAAAACAAGCACAGCAAGGCACAGCTGGGAGATTTTTCCCACGTATTTTTCCCAGGACACAGATGGTGAGTGAGGATGGTCAGTCCATACAGCAACCTTCCCAACCAGCCTCCAGACCTGCTAAAATCACCTGAAGGAAGAGATATGAGCACAGAGAAGAAAAAGCAACAACCTCTCCCTTTAGTGAGGGAGATGTGCAATGCCCCAAACCAGCCAGAAACACCAAACCAAATATCTGGGCATCTTCTCATGCAAAAGGAGAAGAAACAGTGGCAAACCCAGTTATGTGCTAATCCATGTAAGATTTTGGCTGATAGAAGATTCCCAAAACCAGCCAGGAGAACTACAAGCTGTAAAGGAAGCAAATATCAGCATGGATTTTTCCACCAGCCCACAAACGGATCACAGCCAGCCCGCGGTGCAGCTTCTATTGACAGACACAACAGCTCCTCTCTTCTACAAAATTATTGTGCCATTTTCTGTTGTAATTGAATCTTTTCAAACCTTTTCAACAATAACAATGCCTCTAATGCAAGGTTAACTCAGCCCTTTACCCCCCTCTTGCTCGGGGAGATGGGTCTGTGTTCAGCACTGACTGCTGCCATGTGGGAAGCACCATCGAGGAAAAGGGATGCCGGGGATTTTTGGAATGTCTGTGGGAGCAACAGGGCTGTGGCCAAAGCAGCTGCTTCTCTGGTGAGATCTGTGCCAAACACAAGGGTGGGAAGCTCCTGTAACTCAACAGCAGCAGCCAAGGGACTGCAGGACCACGCACACACATCCAACACCAAATTATCCCCGAAAAGCAGATGGGCACATGAGGTAGGAGAGCACCAAGGGGAGCTCTGCTCTCTCCCAGGGACTGAGGCTCCGACACTTCACGACCAATATGCAGAGAGGGAGAAACATTCTTCTCTTCAAAGAGAAATCAGGCCCTCGGTGGCTTCGTCTCGTGTTTGTTATAACCCCAAACTGTTTGTGCTCTGTGCGACTCTGGTTTTAATCATTTATTCATCAGCACAGTTTGATGGCCCCTCTGCATTCCAGGCTGAAGCTTTTAAACCTTTCCTATGCTGGAGGCATACTGAAAGGAGCAAGTGCTTTCCCTGGGACCTGGAAATATAAGTAAATATGACAGGCTCTGGTTCCATTTTTTATATTTCCCCACACACATCAAAAGCCATTACTTGGGAACAGATGCTGAGGACAGACAGCAGACCTGGGGAGATGGGAAAGAAAACCTCTAACTTTTTAAAGCCAGGTCTGTGAGAAGTGATCAAACATAATCCATTCACTAGTGACCTGCTCCTCCCTCCACCGACTCCTCTTTGAGTCTGAAATAAAATTACTCCTCTGAAGCCTCCCATTAACAGATGAAAAGACTTTCAGCCTCTCTCCAGCTGAAACTGGATGGGGGCTGCGATCCCCAGCGTGCCTGGATATTGCAGCTCAGGCTCCTCTGCTTGGATTTGCTTTTCTTTTAAAAATAAACCAAAAGAGCTGCCCAGAGTGATGTTTGCAGAAGTGACAGATCCAGGGGAGAGGCTCAGTGCAGTGCTGGCTTCTCCTTCCCGGAGGCAACAGCGGCTGCCGAGCCCCGGCTGTCCCTGTGCAGCCCAGCCAAGGTAGACAGCCCCAGCACCAGCCAGCCTGGCTCACACACACAACACCAGTGACAAGGACAAAGTTTGCTCCCAGACACAGCCCAGGCCTTCAGGAGCTCAGGGCTGTGAGCACACGATG